GCCCTTGTCAAAAGTCCCTCCCCAGCTCGCCGGCATGGACGGGAGCACCCCAGGCACGGGAACACCCCAGGCACGGGAGCATCCCAGGCACGGGAACACCCCAGGCACGGGAGCATCCCAGGCACGGGAGCACCCCAGGCACGGGAGCACGGCAGCTGACTCGGCTTTTATTGTCACAGGACACAGCAGCAGATGATGTGATCGGTGGCTCCGAGGGGGACAGGGTGAGTGACCCCGGGGGTCTCCCACAGCCCCACCCCCAGCAGGGCCCTGCAGCAGCAGGAGCAGGGAGAGGGGCTGCTGGATGGGGCTGGTGCCGCTGCCAGCCCCGCTGCCGCCCCTCCGGGCAGAAGGACAGACTCTCAGGTGGGGTGACTTGGGGCAGTTCCTCAGCAGACGAGGGGTCCCTGCCAGGGGCAGCCTTTGCACCTCCCGCTCTTGGCTCCGTTGCATCCGCGGTTCCAGCTCCCCCCTGGTGGCTTTGCTCTTGCCACGCTCAGCAGCAACGGGAGGAGCTGTCCCGGGAATCCCGTGCCTCCAGGATGGAGAAGTGTGGCCCCAGCCCAGGGTTTTGCTGCGCATCAGCCCCAGGATCTGGCTGATTTGCCTCCCCTGGAGCTGCAAAACGAGGGGCAGGCTCAGCACAGGCAGAAGCCCCAGCAAAGCTGGAGGTGGAGCAGGAGCATCTGCTGCCACCACTGCCCTTTGCCCTGGGCTTCATTTTCAGTGTTATTAAAGGAGGCCAAAATGTTAAAAACATGAAGAGATTAATGGGTTATTTCACCCCACACACACACATCCCCCTGCACACAGATTCCTGGATTGCTTTTTAACGTGGGCTTGGTGCCAGCCTGGGGGGGAAGGGCTCCAGCACTGCTGGGACCTGGCAGCTCCTTGGCAGGATGGTGGTCTTGGGGGTCTGCCCCTCTGTGTTGGCTCCAGGTCACAAAGGTAGGGGAAAACCAGGCAGAAACAGCCCTGGGCTCTGACAGACAGACCCTGGGGGCTGTGGGTGGGTAAAGTGGCCGGCCAGGTTCTTTGAGGGGTGACCCAACACCACTGAAGTCACCAGGAACCACCTTCCCTACTGACTTCAGCCACGCAGGAGGAGGAAGAGGGAGCAGAGGGATGAGATGAATGAAGAGCATCTTCCCTGCCGACACAAAGCCTGTCTGTAAAAACCTATGGGCTGTTGGATCCCAACCCCACCCACCCCTCCTCTTAAATGTCCCCTTCTGGGAGCCAGCACAGCCCCAGGAGCTGCTCCTCAGCTCGGGGTTCCAGCAGCAGGGTAACCCATCCCTTGGTCCTGGCTTGGCTGTCGCTCTGCTCCCCACCCCACGGGTGCTCACTCAGGGATGTAGTCCCTGAAGGAGTTAAAGCTGAGGCTCCTGCCTGCTGAGTTCGAGGTGGAGCTGGCTTGCATCTTAGGGATCTTCTCCATCAGCTTGGACACTGTCCTCCTCTTGAAGGAGCCTGGGGAGAAATGCCCCTGTCTCATGAGCTCCTGGTAGAGGGTGTTGAACACCACCACGGTCTCTTCGTAGCTGTCCCGGGTGGAGATCTCGTAGAAAGGAAGCTTCAAGGCTTTGGAGAGGTTCTCGCCGTCCTCTGTGGACACCATCCTGTCAAACTGCAAGTCCTTCTTGTTGCCCACGATGACCACGGGGGGCTGGTCGCTGCTGCTGCTGCGCTTGGGGCTGGAGTGGATGTGGTTGATGAGGAAGCAGAGCCGCATCACCTCGTCGAAGCTGCACCGGTCGGTCACCGAGTAGACCACAGCGAAGCCATCGCCCCACTTGATCTTCTCCTCTATCTGCAGGGAATCCTCCTCCTGCTGGCCCAGACACACTGGCATTAACACCAGAAGCCCCAGCGTTTCCTACAGTTTCTGACAACACGGGGTTGCAACCTAGAAGACCTCCCAAGGGGGCTGGGCACCATGTCCCTGAGGGGTTTGGCCCTGGGCTTGCACGCAGCAGCAACGTGCCAAGCAAGGCCCAGGGCAGGGAGTAACTTCTTCCCAATATCTCATCTCAATCCCTCCTCTTCTAGTTCAAAGCCATTCCTCCTTGTCTTGTCACTCCATGTAAAAAGCCCCTCCCCAGCTTTCCTGGAGCCCCTTCAGGCACTGGAAGCTGCTCTAAGGTCTCCCTGGAGCCTTCTCTTCTCCAGGCTGAACACCCCAACTCTCCCAGCCTGGCTCCAGAGCAGAGCTGCTCCAGCCCTTGGAGCATCTCTGTGGCCTCCTCTGGACTCAATCCAACAGCTCCATGTCCTTCTTGTGTTGGGGGCCCCATTTTGACCAGTGTTTTGGATACAAGAGGTTAGAGCTGGTGGAGAGAAGGGTGAGCTCACCTGTCCCGCCGTGTCAAGGATCTCAAAGTGCACCATCTCCCCATCCATCACAGCCATGTGTCTGTAAATCATTTCTGGAGGAGGACAGACACAAAAGTATGGGTGAGAGAAGTCCCCAGGTAGCAAAGGACAAGCCCATTTCCACCCATGGCCTCTTTCCCCTCGGAATCCACCCCCCAGCTCATGGCTGCAGGATAACCAGGCTTGCTGGGCCTCTGGTGTTGCTTTACCAAAACCACAGAAATAGGACAAGGGCTACAAGGGCCAGGGGGGTGTCACAGGGGCCAGTGGCTCTGACTGCTGATTGAGGAGGAAGAGGAGTGAACAGGGGAGTCTGGGAGCAGGGTGGGCTCTGCCAGGAGTG